CCATTAAATAGGAGGGCCTTGCCTACAATTCTACTTGGCACTAAATATAAAACAGAAATGGTCTACAAAAATGTGTGTGGCCCATTCCAATAAGTAGTTCTCTTATGGGGGGGGGGTCTATGTTCTTACAGCCTATAAAGAGGCTTGTCCTTCCCCCCACCTTTCCAGAATTTGGAATATCCATAAACTGAAGCAATTAAACACAGGCACGAGGCAATTAAACACATGCATATCCAATGTCAAAAAATGAAATAAATAACCCTTTCACATAGTTAATGCTTTCAAAGCTACGATGTGTTTCTCTCTCAAGTGCCCTTCACAAACCCACCCCTCACTTGGGCTCTCTGCTGTCAGTGAGGCTGGCACACACCTGACATGTGTTCTTCATGAACCATTTCCCCTCATCAGAAGGAAAGTACAGCTCGCTCTCCCCCGCACCCCCCTCTCCTTTACCTCTCTGCACTAATCCAAAATTAAGACTGGCATTTGGTTGGTATTCTGGAACCACTGTTAAAATTTTGGCACAGCCATCAAAAAAGTGCCAGCTTCAGTGGTCATGTGAGCGACTTTCTGTCAACTGAAAATGAATTAGGACTTTATTGAACATCTTGTTAATTTGTATTGGTGAAATAAGCTTTACATGACAGTGTAAGGATTAATTTTTCTAATTCTAAAGTCAAAAAAGAAAATCCACAGGCGCGCCAACAATATGAAGCGAATTCATCCAACAGCTCCAAAGTCACTTTGAGCTGTTCTGAGCAAACTTCGGGGCAGGCTGTGGAGAATGGAGGTAAATTCTAGAAACCAACAAGTCTCAATTCATTTCCTTCGGTTTGTAAAAACAAGTACCTGACAAGTTTCCTGCCAATGGCCGTTTGCCGTACTTGCAGATAAGAAAGTTCTCAACAGGAAATCCTTTGCTGAGAGAGACCAGTTGTGCCCTTCACCTAAACTTGCTATCCTGGAGCACTAAATATTTGATAACGTGGGGTCGTGAAACACACCCCAAGTCAAATGAGAGACACTACATGGCTCTAAGCTGTTTGCTACACCATCGATGCACGATATTAAATAAACACTAAAACATATTTAGGAGCTCCTCTGTTTTCTGCCCCCTCCTTGAGGCAACCAGTTGAGGAAAAACAAGGGAGATGTGATGTCCTTTTAGAAGGCCCAAACTGTATATTTAAGTAAGTTTTAAAACTGTTTTAAGAAAAGCCAGTGTAGTGTTAGATATACCAGGTACAGAGGGAAGTTACTTCTAAACAAACACAAAGAACTTAAAATTTAGGGGTCTGGGGCTTGAGAGATGGCTCAGCAGTTAAGAGCACTGAATGTTCTTCCAGAGGACCCGGGTTCAATTCCTAGCACTAACATGGCATTCCACAGCAGTCTGTAACTCCAAGTTCTGACACCCTCACACAGACATACATGCAGGCAAAACACCAATATACATAAAATAAAAATAAAGTATTTTTTTTTTTAAATGTAGGAGTCTGGAGAGATGGCTCAGTAGTTAAGAGGTCTCTTTCAGGGGACCTGAGTTCCATCCCCAGTGCCCAGGTCAGGTGGCTCACAACAGTCTGTAACTCCACCTCCAGAGGATCCCTCTGGTCTCGCTAGGCATGGGCACATGAATGTCCTTACCTACATGCAGACAACACATACATCTACACATAATTAATAATAATAAAAATAAATCTTTTTTAAAAACCTTACAGTTTAAAGATTGCCATTGACAAGATGGGTCCAAGTCTAGCAAATGCGTTGATTTTTTATATTGACAAGTTTTAGTGAAGAGTGTCAGAGTCAAAATTTAGGAGAAGCATGCTTGGCTATTTTCCACTTAGCAACTAAATGAAACAGGGGGTTAGTTGAGGGGGTGGGGAGGGGAAAGAGGGGGAGGGGGTTAAACTTTTCTCCTTGGTATCCCTCTCCATGAGTAAGGAAGGTACAGCTGATGTAGGTGCCGGTGACTTGGGGTGGGGGTGCAGTTAAAAGAGCCTCAAAATGAAAGCCCCATTCTCCATTCACAGGAGAGGAAACGTTTCACAGTCAACCGGGCAGTCATATTTGCAGGCTGGAAGCAGTCCCCACTCCACTTAGGAGTTCTTCCTCTCCCTGCTCAGCTACCAAGAACACCCCGCCCTTTGCTCCCCAGAGCCCAGGCGGTCTGCCTGTTTCTGCTCAGGCAGCCAGAGAGAACCTGTCCAAAATACCACAGACCTTCAGGTCAGATGCCTCAGCTCAACCTGGAACCCGCCTGCCAGCAGGAAAAGGCTTCATTATACCTTCCCCCAGATGATCCTCCCTCCATAGGCAGCATTCTGGTCTCTAAGAAGACTTGTTCTAACAGCAGATATACACATCTGAGAGTAAACACACAATTCCACAATTAATGGCTCAAATGTATTCTTTCCAGCCTTCCCCTTGCACAACTCAGAGGTTGCAAAATGCTAAGTAAGCATGAATGCACATCCTGGCTTTCAGGCTTTCCCCTGAACTATTTTCAATAAAAATACAGTTATGAAATCCAGGACCTGAGAGCAATTTGGTTGATGTTGTAAAATGACCTTGGTTTGACAGGCATGGTCTCAGGTTTCAACAGATGTTGTGGGAAGGCTCACAGAAGCCAGCATGCTCTCCGAGCATCTGTGGTGACATGCAGGGGTCTTTGTTTTTTAAGTGTGGTCATGGTAGTAAATGCATGGGCGGTGGGGGTGGGGGGGTGACACTTCTCAGTTTCTATGACAACCGTGTCTCCATTCCTGGGTTACTAGACACCATCTACTTCCTGTGTCTAAATTTTTAAACCAATCAGAAAAGTGTTTATACAGTTAACAACTTCTGGAACCCAGCTTCTTTAATGAGCCACTTTAAGGCTCCAATGAAGATGTCCACAGGGGTCAAGCTCTGTCTTAAGAGTGATCCCATTTCATTGTGCTCACTAATTCAGTCTTCTGTGGAAAACAAAAACAAAAACAACCACCCATTTTCTTGGATGTGAATGTATTCTGCTCAAAGCAGACGCCACGATTTCTTGCAATAGTGTGCAAGCTGATCACGATTGCTTGCTCCTCATTGTCTGTTTTCTCTTTCACTGTCTAAAGACAGATTTAGCTCGAGAAACATGCTAATTTGCAAAGCACTTAAATTATCAAAGTAATGATACAGTTAAGCATCCATCTGCTGGTGTTGCTATTTAAATGCTCAGATGAAAAAAATTAGGAAAAATTAATACCAAGTTGAACAACTTTGCATTCTACAACTTAAGAACAGAAATCATTGAGACTGTATTGTGAAGTCCCGCATCTATCAGTGCGAGCTAGAAGCTGACATCTGCAAAGAAATTTGTCACCAAAATGGCCTACTTTATCTGGATAGAAACAACAACAAAAAAATTAAACATAAAGACACCCAGATCGAGCCAGATGCACCCAGATCAAAAAAAGCAACCTTGCGGAAACCCATGCACGAGACGGCAGATCAGAAATTAAGGCAAGGTCTTAAAAGAAGGTTTCGGGTGACTGTTTTCCTAAGTCTCCCGCTAACTGACCAATCAGTGTGAGTTGGAGCGGGCTCCAGACATCCGTGCCGTCTGCAGGGCTCTGTACCCTCAGAGCTGCTCCCCCTGGCTAAGGCAGAGCTGGCGATCAATGAAAAAACAGGGAACAAAAGGGAAATACTGATGTCTTCCTCAGCTCAGAAAGCCATTCCCCTTTTCCTCAATGAGCCAGTAGCACCCAGCCTACGACAGCGCCACGGGGGAGCTTCCACCAGCCGGGTCCAGTCCTTTCCCAGCTAGCAGTTTCGTCTTCGCAATCATGTGTCCCGACGCTAGCACAACCTGGTGACGGAAGGCTCCCGGAGCCCAACCAATTGAAACTAATAAATTAAATAAATTAATAACCCCCACGATTAAAAGCTCCCAAGAAAGACCGCGCTCCCCTTCCCCAAATGTCATTCCCAGACTATAAACAAAGCATGAAAAATAGTCTCCCCGGCTAGGAATCTGGGTTTTTCTCCTCAAAGCAACGTATTTCTCCAAAACCAGAAACATTCCTGCTTCCTTCACCGGATACTCCGGTTTGTCCATGTCACACCGGGATATGCAGCTCCGGTATTTGAAAAAGAGGTTTAAATTGCCCATAGATCCGACACTCTTGCTTATAATTGATAGCAAAACAGTTACAGCGATGCTGTAACTCTGCCCCAGTCAAACTCCACATTTACCACGTTAGTTCCTTGAAAATACAAGTCATGCCTGGGGACCCCTCCAAAGCCGCCTTCCTCCGAAGTCATTAACAGAATTACATCAATTATTCGGTAATTTTTATAAATATCCATTGTCTGCGATTTTTTAAAATAAAAATGTAAAACCAGCTATCTACAAATTCCAGGAGGAAAAAACTTTTCTTTCTTTTTCTTTCTTTCTTTCTTTTCTTCCTTTCTTTTTTTTTTTTTTTTTTTAATGAACTTACTTTTGAGACAAAAACTAATGAAAATAAGCAACTCGCCATCCCCGGATCTTTCCCGTTCTGAGCTGCATGCTATAAATCAATCCGAAACTAGGTGCACAGATGGGGGCGAACACCTTTAAGATAAAAAGCCAAGGGTGCCCCCCAAATGCGGGCAGCCTGGGCAGCGAGGCTCGGGGTGACAATGCTAACCGGGGCAGAGGCTCGCTAGGCAGCCAGCGAGCCGCATTTTCGTTACCTTCGATCGCCTGCCCCCCCGCTGCTTCTCGCGGCCGCATTGGGGGGCTGCGGCGGCGCTGGACTCGCGGGGGGCCCCGCCGCCGGGTCGCGCCGTCTCCCAGCCGAGCTGCACCGACCGCGGCCGGAACACCCGGCTCCAGCGCCCGGCGCCCGCCCGGGGTCGGCGGCTCGGCTCCCACCCGGGCCCGGAGTCCTGCTGGGTCCTAGCGCTCGCCGTCCGGGCCTCAGCCCGCTCTGCAGCCTGCACGTACTGTGGGGCGGCCGGGGAAGGGGGGGGGGAGCCCCGGGAAAGCACGGGCGGGAAAGCCGAGCCGCCGCCGTGGGTGCGGAGAGAGCGGAGCTCAGTGCCAAAGCCTGGGTGTGCAAAGAAAGACGCTGGCTTCAGCCGAACTCCCAGAAGGCAGATGCTAGAATCTGCAGCCCGAGCGGAAAACACAAGCGTGGTCGGGGAGGTTTGCTCCGTGCACCTGTGGTCTAGAGTGCGCTCACAGAAGGTAAGAGACATCGCGGGATCCTCGGAGATTTCAGAATATAGGGGGAAAGTGGACAGTTCGTGTGCTTGAAACCAGTTTTCCCCAACCTTTTCCCCGTTAACCCTTTTTTTTTTTTTTTTTTTTTTTTGCATTTTGCCTTCTCTGGCTTTATAATTTCTGTTTTAAATAACAAAGCCCCATATGGCTCACCACGTAGTCATCTGATTTTCAAAAGACCTCCAAAATTACATCAAAATATGCACTCATGTATCTCCTAAGAAATCAACAAGAGAGAATTAATGGTGGCATATGGTGTGCCTCGTAGAGAAAACTTAATTACAAATTAAAACAAATGCGAAAATTCACAAATCCCATAAACCAAAAGTAAATTATGATTCTAGATTGATTCACAGATCAGCTCATGTGCCGTCAGGGGGACTGTAAAAAGTCTAGGTTTCTTTCTCAACAGGAGAAAGCTGTTTGCTTGCATGAGTCCACCATACCCCTGTTCCCAGCCCCGCCCCCACCCCACCTCCACCCCACCCCCACTTCCACCCTCCGGGCTCTCTGGTAACCTTTTGGTTCTGCATTTACTGTGGCACACCTGGACGGTAACTTAAATCTTGCAGGTGCTCCTTGAAGACAATCCCATTAGCTCCTAATTCACGATAACAGCGCCTTAGTTGGGAAAACCTGTTTGAAAGGTTTGGCAACTGAACGTATTCCTTCCGTCTTGGTCGATACCACCCAGTTAGAAGGTCATGATTCTGTCCAGACTGCTAATAGCAATGGTGACGGAGTTTTACACCAAGAAGAAAATTAAAACCGTGCCTTCTGACTTCTATTTTCAGAGCAGAAAAACATCCTTTTGAAAATGACTGTTGCCCTCACCTTTCCAATGGTGGCTAGCTAAATGTAATGGAAGATTTTAAAACCTCATTAACTGAACACCACAGGCACCTTTTCTCATGCCTACTGTTGTAACATGGTACGTCCGTCCATCTTCCAAGTACTTCTGTGACCTTTACCATACCTCCAACAGAAAGCACGTAATTCCCAGCTTCCAAAGAAATACAGTGGAAGGTCAGGAAAGGACTGGTCCAAAGCCACCCAGCTGCTGAGCAGTGCAGCTGGAATGGGAGCCTCAGATCTCCCATACCTCCAGCAAGTCCTGTTCTTCCGAGCATACCATCTGCCTCTATCAACTACTTCTCTGCAAAGTACTATGGGAATGCAGGAAGGTCTCTGGCATCCTCCTTTCTTACCTGTGGCAAAGCCCCAGTCCATAGGACGGCCACATGAAGATGCTTGAAAATAGTTTAGTCTCTGCTGAGAAATTTTGCCGGCAGGACCTGTGCTGTCCAGATTTCCCCCCTGGGGCTTCCAGCTCTGGGCTGTGCCGTGCCACGGTCACCCATGTGCACTGCTTTGCTCTGCGTCAGGGACAGAACTGACTCCACTTCACACACAGGGCGCACATGTCTTCAGTGGAAATGGATCACTTTCTGGTGTCCCCTCTGAAAGGCTTGGTAAACCCCAAGAAGTCAAGTATCTTAGCTAGAAGGTGAATCATCAGTGTGATTCAGGATGTCCCCAGGCAGACCTAATGGCACCTGGAGTCCAATGGGCCCTCGGGGAGTCACTTCTCAGCTCTCCTGCACCTGTGAGGAAGTCAGCAGCCAGCGCTGTCCTGCTGTCTTGGCCTTCCGCTTCCTCCTCCTCTCTGTCACATCTCAAGATGGGTCCCAACCTGTTGCTAGCCAGGTGAAGGGCTGAGAGACATCAGGCCTAATATACAGAAATACCAAAGAGTGAGTAAGTACATTTTCAAGGAAGGGGCCAGTCAGGGCAGGGGTATGGGAAGGTATTGTACCTTCCTGGTGAACTGCTTGGAAGGATTTGTGTAAAGTTCCATTTGACGGGTTTATTTGCTCCCTTCGTGGAAACACTCTAATGACTACAGTTATACCATCGGTGTGGCCTTGAGACGGTGTGAACACTTGGATCCAAGTCACCTTAGCACAGGCAGGGAACGGTGCGATGCCACAAAGCAGCTCCGTTACTAAGCAAAGCGCAAGGCTGAAGCGTACCAAGGAGGGGTGTCGGTGATAAAGAAATGGCCATTCATTCATTCCCAGATTCATTCATTCATCCAGTTGTGACTGGACCAAGCTTTGAGCCAGTGGTTACTGTAGGCTGTGGGAATGAAAATAATCTTGTTCTGGTTCGCCTCTCCGTTGCTGTGATAAAACGCTAGCCAGAAACAGCTTGTGGAAGAGTTTTTCATTTCATCTTACTATTTCCAGGTCCTCATCCATCGCTGAGAGAAGTCAGGCAGGAACCTGGAGGCAGGAACTGAAGCTGAGTCCGCAGAGGGACACGACTTACTGGCTTGCTTTTCCTCTGGCTCACTCAGTTCATGTATGTATGTATGTATGTATGTATGTATGTATGTATGTATATGGCCAGACCTACATGCTCAGGGATGGCGTTGCCCATCCCACATCAATCAGCTGTTTAAAAACACGCCCCACAGATATGCCCACAGACCATTCTAATGGAGGCAATTCTCCAGTTGAGGGTCCCTCTTCCCGGGTGACTCTGGTTTGTGTCAAGTTGACAAAAGCCAAACAACACAGATGTCCTTAAAGCAAACAACTCCAGTGGTTACACCGCTGTGCAGCTACATCATGTCCTTCGTGCCCTGCGTTGAGCGCCAGCTGTCCCCGACGTGGGGACAGTTGTCTTCTGGGCCATCCTCAGACGTATTCTTCTCTGAGTTGCTGAAGCTGCTTTTGCCCCATGTAGGTGTCGCAGAATCCCGGATCAGCTGGCTGCTGGCTGGGTATGGCCAAGAAAGGAGACAAAAGGGAAGGTGGAGAATGGCAGGAAGGGACGGGCCAGACAATGTCATCACCCACCTCTTGGCTGATGGCATCACTGGTGGGCGGCGCCTCGCTGAATCTTCTCCGGTGACCTCAGGCCCTGAGCACAAACACTGACACTTCCTGTGAACAGTTCGGCCCGGAGACGTGGTTAGCTTTCTACTGGGATTAATCCCTGAGTGACTTCGTCATGGTGCATAGAAAAGTGGAGAGTGGAAAGTCCGCTGGAGGGGACATTCAAGCATGGCCAAGCCGTGGAGGGTCAGAGGCCGACCGAAGAGAGACATTGTCGCATGAGGAATTGCTGTAAATTCTAGGCCTGGGTCCCTAGAGCACTGAAGGTGATTTCGGTCTCTACACGACCAACCCCTTTATGTCCCGACCAACCCCTTTATGTCCCGTAAGCCCCTGCCCAGAGTCCCTTCCCCAGTGTCTCCTGTTTCTCCGGATCCTGCTCTGTTTCCCCTCTCTCTTTGCCCTGATCACTTTCTAACACCTTTGATCTACAATCTTTATAATCCACTGTCTCTTCTACGCACAGCAGTAGAAGTTCCACGGTGCCAGGAATCTTTGCTTTTTTTTTTTTTTTTCCACTGAGACTTGTCAAGAACATAAAAGTGTCTGAGCTGGCTCTGGTGGCTAATGCCTTTAATCCTAGCACATGGAAGGTCAAGGCAGCAGAATTGATGAGAATTTGAGGCCAGCCTGGGCTACAGAGACCCTGTCTTGAAACAAAAACAAACAAAATAAAAAAGTGTCTGATCTATAGTAAGTGCTCATTTTTTTTCAAACAAATGAATGAGGAACTGGGGGGTATACTTTAGTAGGTAGTTTGCTGGCCTAGCATGCAGGAGACCCCAAATTAGATTCCCAACATTACATAAATTGGGTATGGTAGCACACATCTGTGATCTTAAAGATCAAAAATTCAGGGTCATCCTAGGCTACATAGCCAAAGATCCTGTGTCAAAAAAAAAAAAAAATTAAATGAATGAATAAAGTTAAGAAATAAGAAGGCATTTGCACTAGTTCAGGGTTCTCCAGAGCAACAGAACCTATAGGTGTAGGCAGAGTTTTCTGCTGGGACCAACAGTCAGCTTGGTCCCACCAGCCAGCTCCCAAATAACCACAAAGAGACTTCTTATTCATTATACATGTTCGGCTGATAGCTTAGGCTTGTTACTAACCAGCTCTTACATCTTAAATTAACCCATATTTCTTATCTACACTCTACCGCATGGTGGTCCCTTTTTTTCATCAGGGCATGTTCATCTCCTGCTTCCTCTGTGTCTGGCTGGCGACTCCGTGTTACTCCTCCCTTCTTCCCAGCATCCTTTCATTTTGGCTGTCCCTGCCTACTTCTTCCTGCCTAGCTATTGGGTGGTCAGCTCTTTTATTAAACCAATGAGAAGGCGCCTTGGCAAACATGCATCTTCACAGAGTACAAAGAGATTATTCCATAACATATAGGATGGAAGAAGAGAGAAGGAGGAGGAGGGAGGGAGGGAAGGGAGGTTGGTTGAGATTTATTCTAAGAATTTAGCTATGCCAGACAGGTGTGGTGACATATGCCTTTAATCCTAGCACCGGAAGGCTGAGGCAGGTAGATCTCTGTGAGCTCAAGGACAGCCACATCTCCATAGTGAGGCTCTGTCATAAAACAAAACAAAATGTGGTTTTGCAGCTTTGGAGGCTGATCTATCTCAGCAAGCTGCAGAGCCAGCAGAGCTAACGGCACAGTTCTAGGGCATAAAGGGTGCTGAGCTTTGTAGAGATTTTCCTTGGACCCAGTGGAGGATGACTTAGATCTGTCATTATTTAGATGACAGAAGGTGGGGTGACTGACTAGAGATTACCATTATGTTCATTTAGATGTGGATATGAAGGAATTTACTATTGGTAGCTTCAGAAGACCCTTTCATGACCCATTAGCAATAGGTGATCTTGCACCCACCACAGACATCAGACAGTAGGAGCCAGTCAGGGGTGAGGATCATAGAGAACAACAGCCTGAATTGCTGTGGTGGAAGCTGGGCATGACAGTGTCTCTTGGCCATTTAACTGCTCCGTCAGAGAAGCAATAGAGAGTCCCGTCTTTGGGGGGATGTCTCAATCCACTTCGTAGACATTTTATGGTATAGCTACAGACCTGATCTTGGAGTGAGTCCCACTTCGAGGCCATCAGAGCCTTCTGGAATTCTTTCATGAGCCAGGAAAGCAAGTCTCCTTCTACCCCAATTACTAAACTATAGGGTGCTGCCAGCAGCCACATCCTCAGATTGTGGGTTCTGGAGGTGGATAACAACCCAACCGTTAGCCCAAGCAGTTCGCTGAAACACGATGAAGACCCAGCGTAAACTTTGGATTACACAAACAACCCTTTTTGCCAACTCCATCATCATAACAGTTTGGGTTCCTCTGTATATCTAACTCCCATCTGTGTACGCAGGTATGTGCAGGGGGTCCGTGCTGGATACTCTCAGACTTTGTAGCTATGGGTAGGAATCAGGATAGAGTGAGAGGAAGAGTTGCCACTTGCTTCTCTGCATGCTTTGAGTTGCAATGAGGGGCCGCCTGACTTCGCCCTGTGGAGTCACAAGCCTTAACATCCTCCATGAAACTGATAGCCTTACCCTGTTACTAACACACTAAGGAGCTGGGGCAACAGCGTGGGCCCTGGACCGCATTATTTCCACCCAGCATTTTAAAGAGATTCCTGACCTCCCACGGGTAATGGGACTGTCACTGTGCCTCCTGTCAAGAGGAAAGCTGTGACTCATTCATCTCTTTGATGTGTCTGTGTGCATCCCGTCAGGGCCCCGGAAATGTAGGCATCGGCGGTTGCCTTGCCTTGACAAGAGAGGTGGATAAGTGTTGTCTGTCTCCTCCACTGTAGGGTCGGCTCGTGCAAATGGCCATACTTTGTGTCTTCACACTGGTTCTTCTGCTCCAGTTCAGGTCCCGAAAGAATTGTTTCTCCTGAGCGTGGCTGCCTTGTCAGCCTTGAGAGGAAGGCATGGGGCCGAACCCTGCCAAAAACAGTCCAAGCTGGCATGGGGCCAGCCAGCTGGCGGCTAAGCAGAGCCCTCTCCCAGCCTCTCCAGGCCCCCCTCCAGCTCCCTTTTACAGCTGTCTGGCCTCAGGTAATCATTGGCACTCTGCGGGTCCCTGGCTCTTTTCCTTCCCATGTTTCAGATCACTTTACACGCATTAATTAAGCCTTAAAACACTCAGGAAAGGAAAGCCAAAGACAGTGGGGATGTTTGCAACATGCTTCTCCATGCTCTGGCTGGAGAACAGGCTGGCCCCACCCTTGCCTAGCCTCTCCCTCACCAAGCCCCTCCCTCATCCAGCCCCTCCCTTACCAAGCCCCTCCCTAATCCAGCCCCTCCCTCATCCAACCCCTCCCTCATCCAGCCCCACCCTAACCCAGGTGGAAGGGTGGAGCTTCTGTGTTTCTTGCATAGTTGAAACCCAGTCTACATACCCCAGAAAACCCCATATTCATTATTGGCTTAGGACAGTCATCCACCCTGTTGAGGTTACCTGCTAGAGCTGACCCACATGACCTTTGGAAGTAGGCATCTGTGGCTCAATGTTTCACACCTGGAATGAATGTCTCCAGTCTATTCCACTGTAACCATGGTCAAGGACCTTGGGATAAGAAAGGCCTTAGCCCAAATAAGGTGGGCAGTGCCGAGCAAGGAAGCCTGAGGTTGACCTCTCACCTCCACATGCACATGTGTACACATGCATACAGAGAGGGGTGGGGTAGGGATGGAGAGACCCTGAGGGGCAGGGAAAGACCTGAGACCAGGCCTACCCCCTAGAGAGATGTCTTGCAAACATTGTTTGGCATCCTAGGGCTGACTGTATCATCTATAAAGCCGAGAGGAATATGTCCAGTGCCTCCCCCACCCCTTGATTTCTGGGCAGGATGAAATCAGAGCGTAACATCCTAAGCATTTGGCATAGAAAAAAGCTGGATTCTGTGGCCTTTCCAAGCCATCTTGTATCTAATCCCAGTCAGTCTGAATTAATGTAGTTTTGCTACCAAAGTGTTAGAGACCCTGTAGTTCGAATTGGTGTTGGCATCTCTCGCTGAGATGAAATGGTAGGAAATCTAAATGAAGTCTGCAGTTCAGTTAACAGTTTTTTACCAACCATTAATCCTTAGTTTAGATTAATTTATGACATTTGAGCCATTGACATTACAGAAAGTTGGGTGAGTGGAATGCAGGGACTGTGTTTTAGTGGATAGTAATAATCTTATTTTGAGTGCATCAAAATTGGTAATGATACCCAGGAAGACTAACACTTCACCCACATTTTTAGTGTACTATTTTAAAATGCCTCTATGGCTTCCATGAAAATAATACATGCCAGGCCTTTTGTTACCAAAATAAGAGACAATTTCTGTTAGCTCCAGCTGTTATCACCACCAAGGAAAATTCATTGAGTTTCCTGTGTCTGCAAAGTGCCATATTGTACGTTAAAATAGCAAACATTACCATCGGGAGAAAACCATTGCTTATGTGGCAGTCCTTTTAAGGTGGCTGTTTGTATGTAAGACATTTGATAACCTGACTATTTAGGCCCCCAGTGCTTTCCTTATTTCACAGAAAATGGATGGTTTTCTAGCCACGCGGCTCTGGTGAGCCTTCCTCTCTGGCGAGAAGCAACTGGAAAGAGCCATCCTGTCAAGCAGCCCTGTAGATTATAGCGCTGGCCACTCTGAGCACAGGGTTTGCGATGTTCGCAGTAAAATGCCGGGGGTACCCTTTTGCTAACTTCATGGAGACCACAGGATTTAAATGCATTATTTCCTCACTTCTTTTAGATCATGCAAATTATGATGTCGTGGTGGTCAGAAAGAACTCTGCATCTGGTGGGTGGTAAGGTGGTAAAGAACCTCATCATCTGTCACATCAGAGAGTGTGAATATAATATGGCCACCGTACAGTGGGTTCAGTAGAAGAGCCAGAGCTCGAGAAAGTGAACACTGGGTTAAAAGTTGCTCAGCACTCCAGCCGATCCGAATCCCTGGGAACACCTCATGGTATGTCAGCAAAGCATCCGTGAGCAAAGGTTGGTACCTATGGCCCACAGGGTACTGTGCTGCGCCCCTTTCCTCCACAGTGAGAATGTCATCTGTTACTTTGGGGGTGCTCTTCCTGTGCTTAGAGAATCCCCAATGTCAGGAGGCAAATCCTACTAAGAAGTGAAACGACACAGGCCATCTTATCACTTCTCTTGATGTTGGGGGAAAATGCAGAAGCCAGGTGCCCCCAGGAGCTAGTGATGCAAAGGGGTGGGACAGTACTTGTGGTGGTTATTTCCAACCATCTCATATAGCCCAGGCTGGCCTCAAAGTCCCTATTGGCCAAGGAGAGCCTTGAACTTCTGATTTTCCTTCCTCTACTTCCAAGTGCTAGGATTATAAACATGTAACTGTATGCTTGGCCTGGATGGTTAATTTTTATTATCAATTCCATTGGATAAGAAACTCATCAATTCTTAGTCTTTTGGCTATGT